TCCTGCTGCTGTGTACCGGTACCGAGGATGTGATATGGGCCAGAAATGTGGAAGCTTGCTGCCTGGGAACGGGGCACTTTGCTCCCATGCCTCAGTCCATGCTCCAGAAAAGGGAAGCGGAGAATTTTTAGGTTTTCAGGTTGCAGAGATCTAAATGACACCTACCTTGAAGAGAGCAAACCGTCGCTTCTTCTTTTTGTTCGTTCAGCTCTTCGATGAAGCTTTTGCTCACATCATCTAAGGCCTGAAAGTGAAAGTGATACGGCTTATTAACAAAAGCTCTAGAAGTGCAGTTACACACCGAAGCTTTTCCTCTTTTCTCTTGACCTCTGCTGTCGTTACCCGGTCCTTTTCTACTGTAAAACTCTTTGCACCAATATGCTTTGTTTCCTGCTGCAGTGGTTCCTACCTGTTCGTATCCCTCATCAAATGTCCCCTCTCCTGAAGGTTCCACCTCTCACACTATCATTTTTCTTCTGGCAGGAGAACGGGCTCTGCCTGAGCTCTGGACATCCAAGAGGCATCACCAAACAGGTAGGTGGCTGTGCTGAAACTGTTGCCTGGCTGGCTGTGGGTCAGATCACCCACAGCCCACTGTCGGTGAATGAAGGCAGGCTCCCAGAACGTGCAGCCTGCTCTACTGTGGGCCACTGGCCACGCTCAGGTGTTCTTCCACGGTCTGACGCAAAGCAGGTTCTCTGGGACATTTTGGAGAGGCCAGAAGAGGGTGAGCTCTGATCAGTAGCTGACAGGAGCTGAGCACAGAGAAGGCACCCCTGTGTTTGGCGTGTGAGATCCTTGCCCCGGGAAGGTCAAAAGCAAATTTTCCCTTGACCTGAGCAGGGCTAGGGCTTCACCCTTCTCTATGTTGGGCTGGTTCAAAACTGGGGTTAGGTTTTCTGAGCCAGGAGGTTTCATAACTGCCCGGGGAAGTGGTCGAGTCCCCATCCCTGGAGGTATTTAAAAGCTGGGCAGATGAGGTGCTTAGGGACAGGGTTTGGTGGTGGGATGGCAGGGTTAGGGGAACGGTTGGGCTTGGGGATCTTAAAGGGCTTTTCCTACCTAAACGATTCTGTGATTCTGTGATTCTATGGATATGTAAACTGCTTCAGAGGCTGCATTCCCCCCCGCCCCCCTTAACACACTAGCTCTGCAGTGATGCTTTCTCAGTTCTTGGGACACTGGACAATAGTTACAGCTAACTTATTGATGCTGCCCCGCGCGTCTCTCCTCTGTGCAATGAGCCACTTACAATAACGATGGCCTTTTGAGCAGCTTCATTGTGAATAAGCTTTGCCTTCTCAAGTGCTTTTTCAAAGTTCATGATTGCAGACTGGTAATCCTTTAATTTTACTGTAAGAGACAAATGAAAACTTCTATTTTAACA